GGGGTATCTTATTAAAGCCTTTTTTGATAAAATTCAATCATTTATCAAAAAAATGTGTGACCGATAGGCAGGTGAAATAGAAATAGAATTTTTGCACACAAAACACAAAAAGAAAAATATCCATATTGAAAGCATCCAAACTCTTGTGTGCTCCATAAATCTTCTACTCTATTTATAAAGTAAAGGAAGATTTCCTATATCTTTCATATTAGTCCATTAATGAAAGAGAGAGAGAGAGGCTGATTGGTTATTGGTGATAAACCACCTCTATCTTTATCTCCTAGTTTGGCTAGATCTTTATTCTTAGGATTCTATCCTTGGGATAACAATTATCCTCTGATCCATAGGATAATTGTTATCCTAATGAGATGTAATCTCCTAATTGTTATCTTTGTAAAACTTTATCAATATGTAGTTCCACTCATTATAAACCTCTTCTCATTATAAATATGATCAAGGCTGGTGATCTTCTGATAGTGCCCAATTATTCTTTGAGATTTTCGACTCTATCCTGGTATCAGAGCATATCTATGATTCCCATGGCTTCTAGCAGCTTCAGCTTTGAGTCTTAGCACTCAACAGGTGCCTCCGCCACCAACAACACATCAGGTTCGAATTCAACTCAGTCTAGTGGCATACACTATCTTCCCTTTAATCTTAGCAATGATAATTACCTCCTCTGGAAAGCCCAATTGTTGTCGATCCTCTACACTTACCAGTTGATGGGGTATGTAGATGAATCAATTGTTGCACCACCATAGTATACACTAGATCCAATCAATGGCAATTAGATGATTCTCAATCCAGCGCATTCGGATTGGTTTGAGAAAGATCAACTGGTACTATCTTGGATTATTGCATCTCTCATGGAGAACATATTTGCACAAGTAGTAGGACATCGGTTGTCTCGCGATGTTTGGAATGCCCTCGCTAATTCTTTCGCTAATTATTCCCTCTCTAGATTGCTTCAGTGCAGAAGACAACTTCAGAATCTCAAGAAAGGAGGTATGACTATTTTTTAATATGTTTAGTAAGCTAGGTCTATAGTTGATAGCCTTTTCGCTATTGTTGAACCCATTAACACGAGTGATTTAATTCTCTATATACTTGCTAGATTAGGAGCTGAATATGAATCTGTTGTGACTACTATTACTAATAGGTCCGATATAGAGGACCTTGATGTTGATGATGTTTTAGGCATTCTTCTTGGCCACGAGGGCTAAGTAGAACATAATGCTATTTCTATCGATTCCACACCCCCTATAGCTAATATTGCTAATTTTAAGAACAATAATCAGAACAATAATCAATATACTACTCCTGGGAACAACCGCGACAGAGGCAGTGGCGTGGTTCTTCTGACAACCACACAAATAATGGAGGTAGAGAATGCAACAATCAAATTGTTTGTCAACTTTGCATAAACCGGGGCATGGAGTTGTGAAATGTTGTCAGCGTTATGATCTGAATTACAAGAATGAAGAGACAAAACCCGTTGCCTACAACAGTAGCATTGCTCCCTTTCAATCATCGTTCAACCCAACTTGGTATCCAAATAGTGGTTACATGCATCACATGACACCTAACATTGATAATCTACAGGTTTGGTCTGAGTATAGAGGAACCGATCAAGTTGAAGTTGAGAACGGTTCAGGTTTGGCAATTAAGAATATTGGTTCTTCAGTTATTAGCACTGTTACTAATTAGTTTGCTTTAAAGAATACTTTTCATGTGCCAGAATTATCTAAAAATTTGCTATCTGTTCACTAGTTTGCTTGTGATAACAACTCATTTTTTGAATTTCATGGTGACTATTTTCTTGTGAAGGATTATATGGGGAACATCCGGAGCTAGCAGAGATGGTCTCTATCAATTTCCAAGAAGCATGACTAGTACGAATCAGCCTTCTGCTTTAGTCGGTGAACAGGCTTCTGTCAGTGATTGGCACAAACGGCTTGGACATCTGGCTATGCGAGTTGTGAGGCAAGTTGTGTCCCAGTTCGAATTACCATATGAAGGTCAATTTAATTTCATCCCTAATTTAGTATGTGAGTCGTGTCAAGTAAGCAAGAGTCATAGGTTATCTCTCCCCCCTTCTCCTACAGATATTTCCAATCCATTAGATTTGGTTTTTTCAGATGTATGGGGACCATCTTCAATTTTATCCAATGCGAGGTTTCGATATTATGTTTTCATTGATGCTTATAGCAAATTTTCTTGGTTGTTTTCGTTGCAACGGAAGTTAGATGTCTTTGATGTATTTTTGTCTTTTAAGCGTCATGCTGAAATTTTATTTAATACCAAAATCAAGGCTTTGCAATCTGATTGGGGTGGAGAATATTGGAAGCTCTCTACTTGGACTCTGTTGGCATCACTCACCAGCTTGCATGTCCTCACACACATGAACAAAATGGAAGCACTGAGTGGAAACATCGCCACATCATCGAAGCAACTTTGTCTCTACTAGCCTCCTCGTCGCTCCCCTTTTTCCTTCTGGGTAGATGACGCTCTTATAGTTGTATACTTAATTAATCGGCTTCCGCCCAACACTCTCTGGCACAAATCTCCCTATGAAGTTTTGTTTGGTTCTCCAAATTATTGGTTTCTTAAAATTTTTGGGTGGGCTTTCTGCCCATTGTTGCGCCCATATAATCAACACAAATTTGACTATCGCTCTCAGCAATGTATCTTCCTTGGCTACAGTGACAAACACAAAGGTTATCGGTGTGTGTGCATCTTGTGACTGAGCGAGAATATATCTCATGACATGTTATATTTGATGAACATCATTTTCCCGGGCTTCCTGTGGTTACTTCATCAGATCCGGTTGAGTCAACCGGTGTTTATTTACAAACCCCCATCGTGTCTCCCACTACTCCTAATGCACCTGCATCACCAGTTCCCTCATCTTTACCGTAGAATGATTCTACTGCTAGTTCCTTTCCTCCTGATAGTCCTATCAATTCATCGACTTCTCCAACTAGTTCCACCTCCCCTGATGTCGAACCACGTGGAACTCGTCCTCTTCAAGACATTCTTAATAATACGGATCCTATCACACTTCAGCATTCTGTAGTTTCTCACCAACACACAATGGTTACTCAGTCTATGGTCGGCTCTCTCCCTCCTTGTTCTCATCTCACTACTAGGTATCCCTTACCACAGTCGTTATTGGGTCAACCACGAAATGATAATGCAGAACCGTCCAGCTATTCCAAAGCCATAAAATCTGCTCACTGGCATGAGGCTATGATAAAGGAGTTCAATGCTCTTGTCACCAATGGTACTTGGAGTCATGTCCCATACTCCTCTCACATGCACGTGGTAGGAACCAAATGGGTCTATAAGGTAAAACAGAAGGCCGATGGAACCATTAATAGGTGCAAGGCCCATTTGGTTACGCAGGGTTTCACTCAAATTCCCGGGGTTGACTTTACTACTACTTTTAGCCCAGTTGTGAAACCAGTAACCATCCGCACTATCCTTTCTCTTGTGGTCTCCCAAACAGTGTTGTATTCATCAAATTTATTTTGACAGTGCCTTTCTTAACAGGGAACTTAACGAGGAAATCCGCACTATCCTTTCTCTTGCGGTCTCCCAAACAGTGTATTCATCAAATTTATTTTGACAATGCCTTTCTTAATAGGGAACTTCACGAGGAAATATATGCAAAGCAAGCTAAGGGTTTCGAAGACCCCTCCAAACCGACTCATGTCTGTAAATTACACAAAGCCCTATATGGGCTTCGCCAAGCACCTTGGGCCTTGTACGCTCGTCTAATTTGCCAACTAATACAGATGGGTTTTTGGGCTTCTACAGTTGATACCTCCTTATTTGTATACTGCTCCAAAACCGTCACACTTTATCTGCTCATATATGTGGATGATGTCTTGTTTACCGGGAACTCTAAGAATGCCATCCACAATTGCATTAATTATGGAGTCTCTCGACATTTCTCTCTCAAGGATCTGGGACCTACCACATTCTTTCTCAGCATTGAGTTCATTCGGCATCCTCATGGAGTACTTCTCAGTCAGCAACGGTACATCACCGATCTTCTTCAATGTGCTCACATGGGATCTGCTAAACCCATCTCGTCTCCTATGGCTGTTCACCCTAAGCTCTCTCAATACAGCGGTCATCCTCTTAAGGATCCTACAGAGTATAGAAGTATTGCCGGTGGCCATCACTCGTCTAGACATCTCCTTTGTTGTAAGCAAAGCCTCCCAGTTTCTTCAGTTTCCCACTGATGAACACACTGTCATGCATGTTTTGAACTTATCTCGGGATTCTTTCTCTTCTCTCTCCCTTCATGCGTATTCTGATGCTGATTGGGCCGGTTGTCTAGATGATCGAAGATCTACATGGGAATTTGCTGTCTATCTGGGTCCCAACTTAGTTGCTTAGAGTTTTCACAAACAAACTACAGTTGCTCGCTCTAGCACAAAGTCTGAATTCCGTGCTTGTGCCACCACGGCTACTGAGGTTCTTTGGATAACCTCTCTCCTTCGGGATCTTGGTGTCACTCTTTCTGAAGCTCCTACTATTTGGTGTGACAACACTGGTTCTACCTATCTTACTACCAATCCTGTTTTTCGTGCTCGCACTTGGCATGTCGAAGTTGACTTTCATTTTCTTCGACATCTTATAATTGATCGTCGGTTGAATGTGATGAGTGGGTTAATATATAGTCTGACAATTAGGCATTAGAAAAGCTTGTCCGCAGGGCTTTGTAACTTGACATGTTCCCCCATATTCAAAGAATCTGATATCCACCACTAGCTATACTATAGTAATTAGTAAGGTCTACCGACATGGGTCAGACTGCACTGCATTTTCAGAAGTCAATAGAAAGAACAGATCGAACAAACTCAAGAGCCAACAGCCAACTAAACCGTGGGGCCGGGTCGTATATACATTAATGGTTACTGAGCCTCTGGGGATCTATAAATTGGCATCAGATGAAACAAGTTTCCTCATGCATCCTAGTTGAAATAGTTTCTTGCTTTTATTCCTTCCTGTTGAGTGAGTGGTTTTAATTTGAGTGAGGAAAATGAATTCCAAGGCTGTTTTACTTTTGGGCCTGATAGTTGTTCTTCTCATCTCCTGGGAGGTGGCAGCTAGAGACTTGTCTGAAACCACGAAAGAAGAAACAACACGTATGTTCTCGCTACTTTCTTTGTTTTGTCATTTTATACGTCGTTCAATGTTCATGTTCATGTGTTCATGGGTGTGGCCGTTGTTCTGCTAAGCTAATTAAGCATAAAATATAATAAATTTCTTCTAACTTTGTAAAATTCTCCTTGAACTTTACGTACGCAGAGAAGGCAACGGAGGCAAACGGAGTTGATGAAGCTAAGTATGGCGGATACCCTGGACGTGGAGGATATGGCGGATACCCTGGACGTGGAGGATATGGTGGATACCCTGGACGGGGTTACGGTGGGTACCCGTACCCCGGTCGCGGTGGTTACGGAGGAGGCTACTGCCGATACGGTTGTTGTGGTGGCCGGGGTTACTATGGAGGTGGCTGCCGACGTTGCTGCTCCTACCTCGGCGAGGCGCCTGACGCTGAGGCTGAAGCCAAGCCTCAAAACTGAAGTGTCACTCACATAGGTCATTGGATTGGAGTGGTGTCTCAACACTCAATACCCTGTTAGTGTATGTGTGACGACGAAGTTTGATATGTATGAATAAGGAAGCATGTATCATGTATGGATTCCATGCATCGATCTGATCTGCGATGTAATAATTCAGTACTCATGCTGATATCCACTGTGAAAGCCTTGTAAAACCACTACCAGTGGCTTTGCCCATGGGAGTAATATTAATTAGTTTTTAGGTTTCTTACAATAAATGCTGATAGACTGCTTCCCACTTTCACTTGTGTTCCAACATAACTATCTACTTATCTTATTTCTGCCACTTTAAGAGACTGATGCGACCAATCTTGAAATCTATATTCATCAAATGGGAGGTTAGGTTGAGGCTATAATATTAAACAATGTGTAAATAATTTAAAATTTGAAGTCTAAGAATTTTAATTCTTCTTTTTAGTCAAAAGAGGAAACCAGGAGGTGAGAAACCGGGAGGACACCTGATGACACCAAGTGAGTATGAATATCAAAGGAACCTCAACTATAGAGAGTTAAAATCAAATAACACAAATAATGTTTGGGTGCAGTGAATTGGTCATTGGCCTTGAACTGTATTTATAATAGAAGAGTTCTACAAAGAGGAAACTCTATATTAGATAGAGTCTTAGATAACAATCAACAAAGATAACAAATAGATCTCATCTCATTAGGATAACAATTATCCTAACTCTCTAAGGATAATTGTTATCCTAAGGATGGACTCCTAAGGATATACACAACTGGGTATACAAGATATACTCTAATATGCCCCCTCAAGCTCCATTCTCATCATGAACATGGAGTTTGTCTCTCAAGAAGCGGAAGTGATCACCGGCGAGAGGCTTGGTGATAATGTCAGCAACATGATCTTTGGAAGAGATAAAACGGACAGTAAGCCATTGTGCAAGAACTAGATCCCGGAGAAAATGAAAGTCAACCTCAACATGTCGAGTCCGAGCACGGAACACAGGGTTGGCAACAAGATAGGTGGCACCAAACACCTCAGTGGCGGATGTGGCACAAGCACAAAATTCAGACTCAGTGCTGGAATGGGCAACCATTGCTTGTTTGCGGGAGCTCCAAGCAATTATTTTAGGGTCTAAATAGATAGCAAAGCCTCCAGTGGATTTGTGATCATCTGGACACCCTACCCAGTCCGCATCGGAAAATGCATGAAGAGAAAGAGAGGTAGAGGATGTTCGTGAGACGTTCAGACCATACAGAATGGTATGTTTGAGGTAATGCAAGATGTGTTTCACAGCTGCCTAGTGATCATCCGTAGGAGCCTGTAGGAACTGAGAAACTTTGCTTACTGCAAACGAGATGTTCGGACGGGTGATTGCCACATACTAAAGAGCCCCAACAATACTCCGATACTCGGTAGGATCAACAAGAGGAGAACCATCATGTCGAGTGAGCTTGGGATGAACCGCCATAGGAGAGGAAATAGTTTTGCAACATCCATGTGAGACCGATGCAGCAAATCAGTGATGTATTGGCGCTGACTGAGAAGAACCCCATTAGAATGCCGAATAAGCTGAATACCAAGGAAGAAGGTAGCAGGACCCAAATCCTTAAGAGAGAAATGAAGAGAGAGCTCTTCAATGCAGCTATGGATAACACTTTGGGAGTTCCCAATAAGTAAGGCATCATCCACATAAATAAGCAGATAAAGAGTAACGTTCTTGGAACAGAACACAAAGAGAGATGTATCAGCTGTAGAGGCTCTAAAACCCATTTGTGCTAACTGGTGAGTGAAACAAGAATACCAAGCTCGTGGTGCCTGTCGAAGTCCACAAAGAGCTTTGTGCAATTTGCACACATGGGTCGGCCTGGAGGGATCTTCAAACCCCTTGGGCTGTTTGATATAGATATCTTCACGAAGTACCCCATTCAAGAAAGCATTATCAAAATCAATCTCACGTATACACCACTGATTCATCACAGCAAGAGAGAGAATGGTATAGATGGTTATGGGTTTTACAACCGGGCTAAAAGTAGTTGTAAAGTTTACCCTGGGGATTTGAGTAAAACCCCGTGCTACCAATCGTGCCTTGTATCTGTCAATAGTACCATCTACATTCCGTTTTACTTTATAGACCCATTTGCTCCCAACCACAATCATGTCAGACGAGTAGGGAACAAGACTCCAAGTGAAGGGATGGAAGATCCATCATATGGATGGCCGAAACTTGCAGGAAGGTAGGGCAAAATTTCAAAAATTTTCTCTCTCCCATCCGGGAAACGTATTCCCTAATTTAGAAAACTGCATTTTCAAGGTTCGCTCTTGAAACAAAATTGGGCCAGACTGAAACCAAAAGAGGGAGAGGGAAATACCTGATATGGAATTAAAAGAAACTCCCAATGTAAGTGTTCACGCTCAAAGAGAATACCAAATCTGCCTCCATTGAAGATGACACAACGTATGTTGAGGCAGGATCAACAAGAATGGTTCTTCAGCAAGAACTTGGGATTTTTCACCAAGAATCGAGTAGGGTGGTGTGAGCACGACTTTTGATTGTTTCTTCACCAAGAAACAATATCAAGAACACTTCTTGATCACTCTAGTAGGTGGAGATCGAATTGGGATGGCGCCAAGAACTAAGGGAGAGAAAAGACTACAGAGAGAATTGTGTTCCTTCTGTGGAATTCGCCCCCTATTTATAATCCTTTTAGGATCAGCTTCCTAATTTGATTAGGAATGAGATTTCCTAATCTCAATCTTGTATTTAGATCTGGACTCAAGTTGATAAGACTTATCTTATCCAACTACTAATCCCAGTCAGATTATAATCCGGAATGGCCCATTTTAATTAAACCATTTAAGCCCAGTTCGAAATGGGCTTTAGGCCCATTAAGTCATATTATTTACTTAACCCATTATGTGCTCGCTAGTTTGGTTCTCTTTGTATGACGTTGGACCCTAGCATTGATCTACACATCATCCACATGGATTCAGCCCAGCCTTTGTTACAAGGCCTAGCCGAATTCACTGTAGGTCACAGTAAACCCTTGAGTCCATCACCATGGGTTCTTAATGGGCCCAACATTTACACTACATGGTCCTTGGGTCGAGTCATTTTGTGAAAACCCAAGGACGGTGGGCAGATGCAAGATTAGCCCATCGGGTATTACCCTCAATGGCTTTACACTTAACTTCTCAACCCTTAATGATCATACACTGCCCGACAAGAGAGGACCTCTCCCTTGGCTGCAAGGTATAGTGTTGCACTCTCTACTCACATGGATCCCAGGAATTAAAACCTTTTGCAAATATTTTGTGAAACCATAACATATAAGTATATATTTATATAAATATATTTTGCAAAACAAATTTCAAATACGTTTGAAATCCACTATCGGTACTTTAGGTTTCCATCAGGGAGAATGCATTCCCCGATCATCCACTTTGTCCGACAAAGGGGCTGATCCTTTCACTATGATCACCCACTCAGGCGAATTCTCAGACTGCCTCAACATACCCAGGTTTTGACTTGATAAAGGATCTCACTAATTGGCAGATCAAAGACAGCACAATCTGACACCTAGTACAGTACCATAATCAAGTGTAAGGGTCAGGTGTAGCATTTCAGTTTTTCTCAGCTATCTCTAACGTCTAGGGCAATACTGGAATTTGGTCTGGTTCAGGGTTTAAAGCAAACCCACACTACATGTACCTCAGGTCTCACCCTAACAACTAAGACAAGCCACCCCAACCAACTTGGCAGTACATCAGTGTTAGCCTTGGCAGGATAAATCTCTCCAAATCTTATCCAACGGTTATGAAGATTCTAAACTAGCACGAGTCTCATAAGTGTCCAGTTTAAGGGTATTACACCGAAACACACCATAATAACACAAATCAATTATGCACTTTATTCATTTACAGTAAATGACAATAAGTACATCAATTTGATCGGAGTTAAGGGCATACACTATCTAACACCAAGTACCATTAGAAACAAGTGTATTAAATTCCTTAGTCATGGCATCACGCCAATGAGTAGATTTTATTGCTTGTGAATAACTAGAGGGTTCCATAGTATCACTTCGGGACTGAACTAATAGTGATTGTGGTAAGGGATACCTAGTCGTGAGATGAGAACGGGGAGGAAGAGATCCATCCATGGAATGAGTGACCATAGGATGCTGGCGAGAATGTTGAGAAGCAACTAAGACTGTTATAGCAAGAATGTCCTGCATAGGACGTTTCCCACGAGGTCCGACTTCCGGAGAAGACATACCTGTGGAGGAAGCTTCCAAATGGTGAGGGCAGTTAGTTGGCAGTGGAAGATCTGAATTATCCTGTATCAGTACGTGAGTCGGAAGCTAGGGAATCTGTAATGGAAGTCGGAGGCACAGTTGGAGGTGCAGGTGGTGGTTGAAGATAAACCCCAGTTGGCTGAACCGATTCGGTGGGAGCAATCACTAAGTATCCCAGGAAATGATACTCATCAAAGATAACATGTCTGGAGATG